AGCGTTGCATTGCCCAGTGCCCTCAGCTAGCTGAATGTAAAACAGGTCGGTGGGCTCGGCTTTTGTTTCTGCTTATTCTCCCCGTTTCTCAGGCACTCGTGTGATGCCAAGACCAGGCGGTCTGTCCATGTCTCTTTAATGAGCTCACAGAATTTCCTAGGATGCTTTAGAGTGACTTCAGCAGGCTCTGGATTGGGCCCAATGTTTAGTCTCCCCTGAGATGCGGTGATGAAAAGGGCTATAGAAATACAAAGTACTGGGCTCTGTTCTTCATTTTATTATCTCACTATGCAAGCGTGCAAGCCCTCAATGTGAGGCTAAGGCCCTTGCAGGCAGTAACACACTCTCTGACCTTCAGAAAGCATATGGCTGTGCTAAATCTTTCCCTTTGGGTGTTTTTTTTTTTTTCCTAGATGACTTATTTTTATCAGGAGCCTTAGGATATTTTCTTTATTTTTCCTGTAAAAGGCCAACATTGCAATGTGTTAAAAGGTCTTTGGAGCTTTTCCATTAATATCCTCCCCTTTCATGGCACAGGAGGAGAAGACATAAACTGGTGCTGGAAGTTCGAGACTTAGTTTGCATAGCAGCATCCAGCTCTAAAGGGACTGGCATCCTAGGCCCTTGTGGGTCATGCCTGGCTCTTTCCAAACTCAGGCCAAGATTAAAGAGATGTGTTAATTCCTAAGCATCAATAATCAACATTAATGACTGTTTTTCTTGGTGATGTTGGTGAAACATCCAGCCAGTGGTGTTGGGAGGGGTTCAGCTTGAGAAAAGAATAGGTGATCCAAGCTATCTAATAAGTATTATTACCTAATCTCACTAATGTCTCTCGTTTGGCTCTCAGTTCATGGTCAGCCTGTTTATCCGTGTCCGTGCTCACTGTCTGGCAACCATGCTGCTACATGACAATCATTAGTCCTTCCTGTTTTTATGAGATCATGAATTATTATCTCTGCAATAAGCTGCCTCTTCCTTCTCGACTCTCTGAGCGCAGCAGCTGCTCAGGGAGTGATCCCAAAGCCTGGATGTGTCAAGCATGCTGGGAGGGGGAACAGCAGGCTCCCGTAATTAGTTAGAGCCCAGGGTCATTAACATCAGCAAGCCGACTATCTATGTCAAAGAAACAACAGAATTGCTGCAATTAAAGACGGGGAGAAAACACCTAGTTCAGCCCTTTGCGCCCGGCACAAACCACCCACAGTGCAACATGAAAGCTTATGTGAAAACACCCAAATGCCTGCTCTGCCCTGACTCTCCTGTACAGCCTCTTCCCAAGCCTAAGGCTTCACCACCGATCAACATCCCAGTTACTCTTCTCCTTTTCTGCACGAAACACCCTGTCAATCCCCTTTCCCGAGTCTGACCTCTCCAGCACAGCGTCTGCCTTCTCCAGGTCCTCGCAAACAGCCTCATACCCCCTTCCTCTCGTTCATCCTCACATCAGTCACAATACACAAGGATCTCCAGAGCCTCTTCCTGCTCCTAGCAGTCAACTGCAGAGCTTCTCACAAAGGTCACAGATACAGGACTTTCCCTCTACGGTCATCTCTTGCTGCCACGAAGGGCAGAATTTGGTTCTCAGGGCCAGATTCATGGGAAATTGGCTTCAAACAGACAGTGGTCAGAACTTAAATTCTGCAGTCAGAAGCTGATCTCTCCAACTCATTTTCTTTGAGAGATCTTGGAAAGCATCAGCGGAAGAAGAAGACACCCCAACAAACTTGGCTGCTTCATGCGTGCATGCATGTGTGCGTGAGCATGTGCTGACGTGTATGCTCGTCTACGGTGGGGGGTGAGTTCTGGACTTCAGAGCCAGCTCAGTCGGTGGGTCTGGACACTCTTCAAGCTCCTGAGAGTTAACAACCACAACATAAACATGGCGGCTGTCCCACCAGGAGAAGAATAGCTCACAGACATTTTGAACACATCATTATTTACAAGAAACAGGACAATGAAAGTAAAGACATATGGGAATGGTCCTTGCTCAGTTTTAGGATGGGTAGGAGGGGCCAGAGAAGAGGGCAACCATAGGCAGGGGGCATGGGAGTCTGAGCTGGGGAAGTGATGTCCTGTGAGAGATGCTGCCAAACCTGCGCGACATGGTTTGGGGGTACAGTATGGAAGAAGACAGGGAGAGATGATGCAGTGTTAGCACATACAAGGTGGCTTTAATAGCTGTAAGCAAAAGATGTGCAGGGCGACACCTGGTATTGCTAAGTTAAAGTTCCTGGATAGTGAATCCAGCAGCTAAAGCACAAACCTAGCCACCAAACGTAGTTGGTCTTTTATCACTGGCAAACAGTATCTGCCAAATCTTCCCCTGGAATTAAGTTTCATTTTGTTTTAAAGGAAAAAATAATGAAGACCCCCTCCCCTCTGCAGATAACAGTCTTAGAAACTAGCCCAAGTGGCGCTAGCAACCCCAGACGGGGCCCCAGCCTGGGAAAACCGCTTGGACATTTGCCTGTCTGGATGCCCGTCCTGGGCCGCTGCTGGCACTACTGCTTCGTGCTCTTGGCGGGTTCTGAGGACTGCCGCACGTCCGTCCACTCCTGCATGGTGCTCTGCAGGGCCTGCGTCTTCTCCTTGTCCACTTGCACGTAATCAACCTTCTCGTCCGAGGCGACTGACGAGGTGGAGGGCTGCGGGCAGGAGAAACACAGCCACAGACCGGTCACTTATTCAGCTCCCCTCTCTTCCCTGCTGGCCACCCCGGGCCTCTGTCTCCTTCCCTGCAGCCTTGCTGCGGGTACAGCAAGGACCTGCAGCTCCCTCGTTTTCTTCCAGACTCAAGAGCTCTTCACCACCCTCTGATTCATTTTCTTGCAAGTAAAGATCTTGTAGGCACACAAAAAAGTCCCACTCACTCCATCCCTCTTAGCTGTGTTGACTCTACAGAGTTATGGCACTAAATTATTTTTGTCCCTAAAACAAGAGATACACCTGCAGGCTCCCTCAGGAGACCTGCTGGGTAATGAGATTTCTTTTTTTTGGCCATAGTTTCTTAAGCGTGGATTTTTATCTTCCTCTACAAGTATTTCAGAGGATGCCCAGCAGCTGCAACCAGAGCCAAGTGATGTTTTTTAATGGGCTAAAGCCATCTTTCCAGGGCAGGTTATTATTTAAATTGGTAATACCTGCAAAAACACTGCCCGGCAGAAAGAAACAATCAAGGGACTACTGTCAAATAATAAAAAGAGTTAATGATTGGGACAGTTTGCCTAGGAAACAAGGTGGTGTTTGTAAAAGTTGAGGCCAACTCGCAGATGGTTCCCATAAAGGTTTAAAAAAATGCCATGTCCTTGTGCCATCCTCCTGCTCCAGAGCTTCTTTGCTTGTACACACATCAGCCAGTCACTCTTCTTTCTCCCCACCATGTGTTCAGGGTTGCACCTAGCAGGACCTGCCTTAGGTCCCCCTAGCCCACTCCTCCACCCGTGCGTGTCATCTTCATCTTAGCAGGTGGCCTTGCTTGGGCAGCTTGTGACATCTCCATCACCTGAGACTTTTAAATCTCGTCTGTTATCTAGGGAGAGATGATTTGCCTTGGACGTGGAGATGCCCTGAGGTCCTTTCTTGCCTTGTTTTTTATGATTCGCTTTAAGGCCATGTTTCCCCATGTTTGAACCTAGTGAAAAGTCACTAATAGCGGGGTCTGTAGGAGGATCTCCCCTTCCATGTTTCTACATGGTATTTGGCAGATGCATCCCATTCCCAACCCACCCGTTCCCAACAGCTCTTTCTCACAGTGCAATAGCTTGATCAGCTCAACAGAATCTGGCTTTTAAATAGCAAGTTCACTTTTGGAAAGCAGTTTGTGCTTTTCCTGGCCAACTGGTGCCCTTTAAAAGCGCCTGATCTGCAGCAGACTGATACTCAGCATTTTCTAAATGAGCTCCTCAAAGTAGCTCACATGGAAAACCCAAGCCAGGGTTTTGAGGACTGCTGTTCTGAAGCTCTCACAAAGAAAAATTCTTCTGATACTTCCTGGCATGCCCTCTGATTGCTTTTGAATAAGGCCAGACACAAAATCTACAATCTATAGCTTAACTTCTGTGTTCATCAATATGAATCCATGAAACCCCTCAAACATCCATGCTCTTGGTTACACCTCCAGCAACGCCGACAGACATGCAACAAAGACTCATTCTGACTTAGAATAAATATAGCAGATCCTCAGATAAAATTCACACCTCTGAGGTTGAACCACGCCACTTACTAACCCTGCCTAGGGCTTTGGCCCATACTGTTGTCTGGGTAGATAAACATCCTTCAGAAATCCCAAATTATTTTTAATCAGAAGTTTAGAAACACCCCAGTACCTTTCTGTGGGGCCCTGGAGAGCTTGGCTGGAAGTCCAGGGCCAGATAATCCACGCTCCCTGAACTCTTTTTAGGTGCTGGGCTGTTGGTGCCACTAGGAACAGGAGAAGCAGAAATGGGGTTTTGCTAATGCAGGAAAGAGACAGGAGAGATAATGAGTGTTAAAATGGGAAGGAGAAAAAAAGAATTAACACAAATCTGGCAGAGAAATGCCTTGGTTGCACTTTCACCAGAGGTCCCAGCCTGGATCTGTTCTTACTTACCTCTTGGGTACCAGGTCCTCTCTGGGGCCAGGGTCTGCAAAACTACTGGGGGTCTGAACTCAGTGGGGCTGTACATGCCCCGTGCTAACAAATCATATAAGCATGCACTCTTAGCATGATTCATTGGTGCAGTTCTGTTGCTTTTTTGATTATTTTATTCGCTTGCCTAACATCAGATGTGGGCTTAGGCATTTCACTGGAACCGCACCTTAGTGAGGCCGGACTAGCATTGGGATCCTTACTAACCTCAACTGTGCTACACAGCCCGAAGATTTCCTCTGCCCTGTTAGCTACACAACCTTAAAAATATGCTTTAAGTCAGCAGCTTTGTCAAAAGAGACAAAACCCCCTCCCTGTAACCAGTGCCCCTCCCTGCTGCTGCTCTGATAGCCCCTGCCCTAGACATAAACATGATGTCAGCAGCTACTAGGGAAAAAAAGAAGAAAAAGGAAAAAAAAAAAATCTACTTAAATCAGGAAAATACACTGTGGCAACGCATAGATGTTTTTGTCACCTTTTAACTCCTGGCAAAGTAGGTGGTATACGTTCCTGCTCTCACATACAGTCAAAACCCCAAAGGGATGTGTCGTTTTAGGAACAAAAGGCACCCTTCTGTGTAAGGATGTGTGTAAGGATGTACGCTACGTTCATCACCGTGCTATCTGAGCAATTTCAGTGCTTCCACAGCCATGAGCTAGGAACGTGTTTGCAGCACTGGGGAACAGGCCCACCAGGACTACGTATCTTCGCTGGGGCCCCTCCGCGGAAGAGGCTTACCATGGCCACGTAATTCTCTTCGCTGTCTCCCGAGTCAGTGCTGGTGATGCTCTGTGAGGAGACAGGGCGGCAGTATTGCAAAGAGCCGGAGTTGAAAGTCTGGCTGTAACGAGAAGCGTGAATGTGTTAATTAATGGTTGCAGGTGTTGCTAGTTGAGTGAGGACAGGAGGGGGCAGCGCCTGATGTCTCCACATGTCACCGCGCTCAGATCTAGGGCCTGGGTCCTACTGAAGAAAAGCTGGTGGCAAAGGCGCTCTCTCCAACCCAGCCTTGCCGCTGTTCAGAGAAGCACTGGATTTGGTCTTCTAAGTTTTTTCTTTCTAAGGCTTTTTAATAACACCTTGCTTGCTACCTTTACTTTCCCACTATTAGATACATAAATCCAGGCTCCATAAACTCTTTTATCTCACAGGAAGCATTTAATTGTGTAGGATACAGAGCCAGCCTCCGTGGAGCTACACAGCAGGCTTCTCACCTCCATCCTAATCACAGCTCCAGGCTTTGTTTACTGTGCAGTAGCCTATCTGATTTTTTTTTTTTTTGTTGGAAAACAAAACCTCCAAGGCGTCGTCTTGTTTTCAATTGGCCAAATCTAATTATATAGAATAACATAATGTAATCAGTGTCTGGTATTAAAGCCCATGTCTTAAAAAGCTATTTGTTGCCTTGCAGTAAAGGCAGGGTCATATGATTAGCTGATAAGGGAAAAATCCATTAGCTCCTACAGGGTCAGACATCTTGTCAATCAAAACCTACTCTCTTTCCTGATGCAGTGATTTCAGCACACAGCCCTCATGCCCTGCAGTCAGTCCCTACACAATCCAATTTATTGCAAGAGTCGTAACAGCCAAGCCTCACTTCTTTCTTTTATTGGACAACATCAGACTACGAATTAGCAGCAGAATTGGAATTGTGTGAATCCTGTTATTTTTGGCGAGGAGATTTTGGTATGAAGTGCTTTGGTTTCATTTTGCAGACTTCCTCCAGGCTAAGCTTTGCTTTCAAGGCAATCAAAACAGAACTCAGCGAAACCCTGTGAGTGTCACTCTGCATTTTTAGATTAAAGCAGGACTTTTTTGCAAGAGCTAGATGTGAAATTGCACAGTGTCCTTAGGTCAGCTGCGTCGGGGCCACGCAGAAGCGTCATGAGTCTCAGCAGACCAGACGTCCCACAGCAAAGCCAGAACTCTCCGGGTGGTGTCAAATCCCAGAAATAAGAAATTTCTTTGAGTGATTTTAATTAGCTGATCTGCCACTTGCTGGGCTTTCATGTGGAATCCTAGCCTAAATTAATTTATCTTGCTGCCACCAGCTATGGTGTGGAAAATATAACTCCAGCTCTTACTACGCTTGACAGAATTTGTTGGAGGTCCAAGACAGGAACCCTTCTGCTTTGACAACAGCTGACTCAAATCCAAAGTCTGACAACAATCTGGCCAAGGAAATCTCGTGGTGTAGCAGAATATTCGAAGAAAGTACTGCAATATAAATGGCCAGTTCTTACGCTCTTTCTAGATAGCTCCTACTGGTCACTGATGGAGACATGATCTTGGACAAGCTGGACTTTTGGTCTGACCCAGTGTAGCTGTTCTTACGTTTGTATCTTCCTAAGACACGACCCAACTCTACAGCTCTTGTTTCTAAAATTGACAGAACCCAAAACCTGGGATGAAAAGATCATCCAGCTACTCCTGGGAAAATTCAAGCCCACATCCAAACTTTAGGCTTACTTGTGGATGGCAGGAGGGCACATTAGAGACGTGTCCCTTTAACAGAAAGAGGTAATGGTCAACAAGAAACCTCTGTTGGGAGCAGAGGCAGAAGGGCACTCGGCATCCCTGTGGTACTCAGGCAGAGATGTTTAATCCATGGCAGAGGAGACACTGCAGCTACATGTAGACAGCAGTGAGAACGGGACCCGGCTGGGTCAGAGATCTGCCATCAGAGCAAAGCAAGCACCCATACCCCAACCAGGTACTCACGTAGGCCTGGACCAGGATTTAGTGACCGGTGATTTGAAGGGAAGCTCATCAATGACTGTGTTGTTCCTCAGGTCCAGAGGCGACGGCTTTGCTGAGAGGGAAGACGACTTTATTCAGCGAGAGGATGTTCCCTACAACTCAGCTCCCACAACTGGCATGAGGAGGGGATGATCCCCAGCAACATGCTGGTTGTTTCCCATTCTGCACTCAGGTTAATCAGCCCACCAACCCTCCTTGCCGCTGACAAACATCCCCAGCCAAAACTCCTGCTTGCATTTCTGCTAGGACTGTGGGAAACCCGGTAACTTTTCCCTCTCCTTCATGGCACACAGCCCCTCCTGCCAGGCCCAAGGGTCCCCAGTGGATGGATGGTCCCGAAAGGGGAATGTGCCTTCCAGGAAACTGAGATTTGCTAAAAATACCCAAACATAGTGCACAATAAGCCTGGCTCATCAGGGAACTCTGATGCCCTATTAGACTGGGAAAAGCCTCCCCTCCGCTCATGGCCAGCCAGAGCTAGACGACACCAGCCTGCTGCTAGCACTGAGCAGTCTCTGGACAGAAGGTTTCCCATGAGGAACTTAAAAAGGAAATCTGCAGTGTAATATGAAAGCTCTTCTAATCAGGGTTAGTTCATTACATAGAAAAAAACAGCACCGCTTTCTAGCCCCAGACCTCACCTAGCGCTCTAATCTGGTTACATTTTGACAGCCTGCAAGCAGCCAAATGGGAACCCTCCCTGCTCAGCAGCTCTCTGGCTATGGCCAAAACTCCGCCGATGGTCCGGGCAATGGTCAGAGGTGTGACTCGGAGGGGACAGGCAGAGCTCGGAGGGAAGAGCTGCCTAAAGCCAGCCAGTAGGAAGCACTAGGTGAAATCTGAGACATCTAAATATGACCCGGAGATTTGGGGGTAGAATGTACGGAGCAGTGGAGGCAAAGGGGGTGAGGTCCTGTCTGTGTTATGCACCTTCTGTAAAGACCAGGAAAGACTTGAGGTAGGCTGTTTAGTAAGCACCACAAAAGCTGTGTCTTCACCATAGTCCTCCTGAAATCAGAAGGTGACGGGGAAGAGGAAGATCTGAATGCCTGACTATGCTGTGGTTACCCAGTTACACCCCCACATAGGACTAGGCAGTGATGTGCATGCCTGAAGTCCCTGGAAGACACGTAAATATTGTTGCTCCATGCAGTATGCACAATATGACAGATGTAGGCTGAAGTATCACAAGAACAGAAGGGTTCCTGAAAAAGACAACTGTTCTTACCTTTCCGGTCGGGTTTAAGGTTGCGGTTGACTGGTGGAGGTTGGATCTCACTCAACCGTCTGTGGCACTGCGCCATGGCTCCTCCTTTATGTACTGGGAGGGTGGTCGAGGACAACCCCAGCAAGTCAAAGTGATGCGGGCCAGGGCTCATGGGGATGTAGAGATTTTGGGCGTTGTCATTGGCTTTCTCCGTGTGGATCAGGGACGACGAACCGGGGTTCATCGGGACGTAATTGTCCTCAGAGTCTGCGCTGTGGGAGCGGGCCACTGCAGCTTTGGCTTGCTGGAGAACATGCGGGAGGCAAAGAGTCAGATGTGTTGAGTGCATCAGACACCGCTCAGTGCCATCCTAGTATAAATCCATCCCTGTTATTGTCACTGAACACTGGCATTGGGGGTGGGATCGGCTCTAACCCAGGGCCTTAAACGTACCTGAGCTTGCACTACTCAACGCTAATCCCAGAACTAGCTGTGCTGATGCGATGGAGATGGCGTTTCAAATGGTAACACCTCTCCCTGTTGCAGCCTGTCTGTATCTATCACTACACCTCACCTCAGCACAGAGGGAAGGGACCGTCTCTCTTCTTCCTCACCATCAGTTTTCACAGGCAGGGTCTCCCTTGTTCCTCCACAGCAGCCTCTGCTGTGGCACCGGCACTCTCAGAGGGGTAACTACTACTGCTGGGTCTCAAGGGCCAGCAAGCCCTGCACTAGTTCTACCTGTCCTGCTTCAGTCCCGGTTTGCAAGACATTGAAACATCCGGAGTTCATAGAATGGTCTTAATCCCCCAGACCTGAGCATCTTTTCATGAACAGAGTGTGATTTGAAGAAGCAATGTTAACCTGGAAATTCATTTTCCCTGGGTTCTGGACATGACTGAAATGCAACATGAAAGGCTGCTTTAATGTCATTTCCAGCTCAGGAAGTCTTAGAAAGTGCACAAAAGAGTCTGCTCTGGCAACATTTCAAATTCAGCTCAACAGCATCCCAGGCTTACAGGAGGAAGCCAAACTCCTGGGCTTTTTTGGGTCCGAGCTCCAGGCAGATAACTCTGTGCAAGTATTCCAAGCAAATTTCTGCATGCTGTGCCAGAAAGCTAGGGGGTTGTCCCTCCACCTCTGCCCTGCCGGTCATCACTGCAGAGACCACAGTGAGCTGAACAAGGAAGGCCCAGATCCACAGAGTTGTTCAGGTACCAAAGTCTCTTGTTGATACGAGACCAAGGACTTGTCGGTCAGGAAAACTGCCTGCAGCAGGTTCAGGCACAATAGCTATTACGAAATGGTGTTTCCCTCAAGTTCGGGGTGCATAATGTGGAGCAATATTCTGTTGCACTTCAGATTGCACAGGGGAAAAAAAATCTCCCTGCGGACAAGGTTTTAACTGAAATCAGTAACAAAACCATTCCTGACTCAGGTCTGCAGGACTGAACTCTTAAGATGCCACCAGGAACAGACTTGTCCCCTCTCTGAATCCAGTGCCTGTAGCACTGCTGCTGATATCAAGGCCAACTTACCAGGTAAGAGTTGTACCCATCGTTCATAGACTCAACCGACTGCACAGCACTGCTGCCCCCGTGCTGGGGATATTCATATGTCTCGCAAGAAGAAGCTGCAACACAATCACAAACACACAATGAGTCCCAGAGCAACTGCTAATGTGCCACCTGGAAACAGAATCCCATATCCAGATAATATGAATGCACCACCTGTTCTTGCTGTTTGTAGCACGCTACTCTGGCAGGAAGACGGAATTTCTAGCCTGCCACATCTCCTTTGACTTCCACTCCCTATCACGCTCCCTCCCAATTACCATCTCTCAGATGTGTCAACACAACTGCATGTGTAGTCTGAACCTAGCCTGGTTCTGTCAAAGTACTGAAAAATCCTGGGGCTGAGAGTGTCAGACAATATATATCATAGAGACAAAACTGGGTTAAGGGAGAGATGGCGTGAGGATGGATTGCACAGCTCTTAGTCTTCTCTGTCTGTTGCTGAACACTGGGTCTGATCTCAGCTTAAATGATACTTGTTGGTATTTAGGTTGGAGGAGATGGAAGAGGTGTTTCAGAGGTGTTTCATCATTTTTGGTATACTGTCTCTCCTACTGTTCCTTCTAAGTCACCTTGCAACTGTCTCACCCGTTTGATCCCTATGGAGAACTAGCAAGGGGTAACATAATGCAATTATATGATCTGGGTTAGAAGGGGCAATCCGGAGAGGAATGGCTCTGTCCTAGACTGCTTTTTGTTCCCTAAAGGACAGGGCACAATGCTGGGAAATGGCACGCTCATCCATATGTCCCTTTGGGGAACAGGTCTGTGGTGGTCCTGGAGAACCACGTTCTCCAGGCATGGCCAAGAGGAAGGACAGTTCTGCTGGCTTGGGGGCATCAAATCTCAAAAGATGTGAAAAATTACTTTCCAGTCCGGTCAGCCAAATCAAGGCAGGTACAGGCTGAAGTGAGTTCTAAAAAAATTAGTTATTAATTGAACCAAGGCACATAGGCTAAAAACGGCAAAAGTCTAGGTCTTAGTAGAAAAATCTGGTGAAGCACTGATGGGGTCCTATTTGGTGCAAGTGGGCTTGGGGTTTTGATTCAAGGCACAATACAGTCAAGAGCCACCTGAGCAGATTGGGTGTAAAGAGCACTCACGGATGTCTCTTCAGGCCACGAGCCCATCTCATAGAAAGAACTGGGCCAGATCCTCATCTACGAGAGCTTCATTGTGTTCAAACCCATCGTGCTGGCTTATGCCAACAGAAACGCTGGCCTTAACGAAAGGGAGGTGTACTGCAGCAGCCGATACCACTAGCTGGTAGAAAGCTACCCCTTCTCTCCATCCCCAAATTTACCTCTGTGTAGCCTGCTGTTCTCCACCGCTGGTAGCGTGTTTCTCCTGGGAATGGTGGCTGCCATGGGGGCCAGCCCTAAGCTTTCGCTGCCCTGGGGTCTCTGCTGCTGGCCGTGGGGGTGGCGCAGCAGGCGAGTCACTGGCAGCCACGGCCAGAGTATTGTGGTTCTTGTCCAGTGTAAATGTCCTGGGGATCTGATAGATGGAGAGAGGGGTAGAAGGGATGTCGTAGGAGTCTGTGGAGAGCTCCCCAAACTCCTTGCATAGGGTGTTGTTGGGAGTCTTAAAGGTATAGACTTCCTCGTTATCCGTTTCGGAGCTTGTGAGGCTCGACTTGGTGTGGGTGTAGGAACCGAAGCTGCGTGGGAGGTCGTACGCACTGTCCCTGAACTCTGAGTTGTGCCGGCTGGGTTTTGGCAGGCTATAAAAGCCGTGGACCTGCCCACCGACTCCGTTCATGCAGTGTCCATTGCCCTGGGAGAGCTTCTGAACAGCTGTGTCGCTCCGCATGAAGAACGAGGACCTCGTGGCTTGGGAGAAACTGGCACTCCTAAGGAAGAAGGGGAGAAGGGGCCTTAGATGTGTGAGAGAGCCTGTCCTGGGCTTGCACCAAATACCTCGGCCTCAGCCGAGCTGGTGGCTGCCTCTGCAGCTCTGCTGCATGGTCATAGCGCAGACCTAACTCTGTCCCCTCATTTGCAACCCTCCCAACCCATGTTGCCCACCATCCGTCTTCAAATCCTGAGAGAATTTGAAGGCAGCAACCTGGGGGAGCTGGAAGAGGACAGCAAGGTTTGGACTGCCTGGAGTTGCAGGAGGAACAGATTATGTTTTTTTTTCTGGCTGAGAGGAATGGGTGAATGTGCCACCATGGCTAAGAGGACTGGTGGAGAATATAGGTGACCAGCACCATCGCTTGGTGGCAGGTTGCTCTCTGCATGCGGTTACAAGTGAGTGAGCCCATTTTTCTGCTGCTCTCCAATAATTTAACACCACTCAACTTCCTCACAGCAACACTCGAGACAGGGTAAAGGGATTTATCCATGCAAACATGCTCATATAAACGGTTCTTAGAATTAGTGGAGGGAGACGAGGGTGTCGAGGGCACATTTCATCTTATCCGGGCGGGCGCTATAAAGTGGGTCAGATGAATCACACCCCAAAAGTCCTCACTCCTCTCCAACTGACTGTAAATGGGGCTGAGGTTGAGGAGCTCTGGTGGAGATGTCCATGTTACCACTGTCGCCAATCAGTTCCTGCAGGTTTGCCGCATGGCATCCTGCCAGGGCCGCTGGAACATCTCAGATCCAGGTCTGACCTCCCTGAACATGTCGACAGCCCATTTTGTACTGAAACACCTTCAAAATGCCAAAAACACCACCTATAACTTCAGCCTCTTCCCAGAGGAAAGCCCATGGCGTGGGTGGGAGGTGCGTGCACAGAAAGCTCCACGGCTGAGCTATGAATGAGCCTTTTATTCAGGCATCAAATGCTCCAAATAGGCCATTTTGGCATCAGATGAGAGCAAATCAAGGCTGTAAAAAGCCATCCCAACAGAGCGCATCACTGATGTCATCATCATGCATCAGCTACCCAACAGCCAATGCAGGAAAGAGGCTCATTTTCACATCTTCCTTGTAAATTCTTTTGAGAGTCTTAAAAAACTCTTATGGGGATTTTCAAAGTGTTCAGGGAATGCCCTGTTCATGCCCTCTTGCAAGGAGGCAATAATCCACACCCACTTGGAGAGCTGGAGGAAGTCACTCCTGAGCAGGTCATGGGAGGACTGGAGGGAAGGACTCCATGCAAGCTCTCTACAAAGCTCTCCAGCCTCTGGCATTGTCTGATCAGGTCCCTTAGATATGCTACTGCCTGGGCAATCCCCCAAAACTGGGGTGTTATAAGGTCATCAGCCAAGTGTCTCTTGGATGGTACACAACTCCTATCTCGGGGGTCGCCCTTCTGTTCCCTCCTTGCTGCTGCTGGACTCACAGAGCAGCCCTCACTGTTTGTTATTTAAGCCTTTGCAGCTGGTGGTGACAGAGACAATTTCCTTCCTTCGGCCCACAGAGCTGTAGGAAGTCACCGATGGGTAAAGACATGTTTTGCTTTTCTCTTCCTTTCATTGTGGGTCTATTTAACTGCTTTTTGTCTGGTGGTTATGGAGCTGACCTGTCGTACCCATGGGGGCTGTGGGATGGGGCGTTTGAGGTGCCCTAGGCTGGACCGCTCTGCAAGCCATGCAGCCCAGAGGAGGTGAGCTACACTCCTGGCAGCTCCCTTCTTCATCTGGGACCTGGGTTTTGCAGCACCTAACTTAGATGCAGGGTGAGAGGAAATAGTCTCATGGTTTAAATCAGATTTACAAAACCTTTCAAGTTCCTCGGGGTGAGGGCATAGTGTGGTCATTAGGTCCCCGCCTCATTAGCAATTCTTTGATTTGTATGGTGGGCATGTCAAGAGACTTCAACAAGGACTGAGGCCGCATTAGGCCAGGCGCTGTGGAGACCTAGGTCCTCTAATGACTGCTCATTAGCCATTGCTCCTCTGCTGTCAGTAGATCCCCTCCAAAGCCTCTGGCAAAATGTGCATTTCATCTGCTTCTGCTGCCTGTTTTACCCCTCCTGCTGCTATTGCATTCCTCTTTAAACACTTAAACTCCACTTTTTTGCAGAAGATCACAAGTTCCATGGGCTTTCTGAGCCTGTAACCGCAGCAGAGGAAACTTTTCAAGTCGGAGGAATCTCCGATTGGCCATGCGAAATTCAGACTTTTGACTTTTATCTCCCCCTGTCTCAGTTCCCCCTCCGTAAAGCAGCTCGACATCCTGCAAGATGTAAGGAAATGTAATCGCTGCTTGTGAAGTGCTGGGATAGGAAAGCGAGAAGCACCAGTGACAAGTGTGGAAGGAAGTGATGGCTCTCTCTTCAGAACAGGCTGGGATCTGGAAGGCATGGGACCATTTCTAGCAGTACTGCTGAATAACATGCGACCAGGCTGCTTGCTCGGGGAGCTCTCTGAAACAGAGGCCCAAAGGGTTACCCTGCAATGAAGATCTAACGCATACGCAGCAAGAGGGCCAGCTCAGGATGAGCTGGCAGCTTTGGGCTGGGTTCATTTGCTCGCACTGAGGTACAACTATGCATGAGCCAGGCCTTTCGGGACCGCGCGCTGATAGCCATAAAGGGAGCTTAGCCAGCCAGGTTCCGTTTAAACGCCTTCACCTAGACGCCTAAATGTGCGTGTCTTCATCTGGAGCTGAATCCTGCCCCGCGTCAATCACGGACATCGGGAAAAAATGAAATGGTTATGCTGGCTTGGGGGGGGGCCCTTGGCTGGGAAGAGATGGGAGATGCTGGTTTGCACTGCGCCAGCAGGGCTAGCGCTGCGCAGGGACAGCGGCACTATTTCCTGCAGCCATCACGAGATGGCGCTCAGAAATAGGGCTTACTTGGGGGGGAAAAAAAGTCTGTGATGCTGCTATAGGACAAATGAATCCTCCTAACCTTTGATGTGCAGTCCGCTCGTGAGATAACAGGACTCTAACAGAACCCGAAGTATCTCAAGGGTTAATTATACAGCACTGCCTGCCAATTAGCTACTATTATCCTCATTTTACGGATGAGTAAAGTAAGACCTCCAGAGTTGCAAGGGGAGCGATTCGCAGCAATCGTGCAGCCTGGCTTTGTGCACTAACCATTGATCACTGCAATTATTTCTAGCTCAGCTGTGGATGCTGCTGTCAGCCAGTTTGTCTCTGCCCAGAGGCCAGGGACCTGGTGGGGGAGAGCTCAGCGCATGCCAAGCCCCCTGCCTTTGCTCCATCTTTCTGCAAGTCCTAGCTGCGCCCAGGGTGGGTTCAGGCCACTCTTCGCTTACGAGAGGTGTCTAACAGCTGGAGCGTCACAAAGCTTTTTTAAACACTGCTCCATTAACTCCATCTGAAGTTAATTTTCTTCCCCCATCCCTCCTTTTTTTTTTTTGGGAAGTGAAAGGCAGCTGCAGCAGGAAAATTTAGCAGAGGCTCCAGCCTGGTCTCTGGTCTCCCACTAGGCCAGCTGGGCTCAGACTGCTTCTCCCTTGGTCCCTCCTCATGCTCCTGCAAGCCAAAACTCCTCAAGCCAAAACTCCTCACTATTTAAGGCAACTGGCTCAGTCTGGAGGCGGAGAGTTGCTGTTCACTCATAAATACCATGAGCTGCTGCGAAGCCGCGTGAGCGCTGGGCTTCAGCGGGGCTGTGTGAATGCTGTCTGAAACGGCAGAAGGGTGGTGGCAAACCACCCGCCTGTCCCTGCTGTTAGGTTTCCTTACGAGAGGATCAAAGGTAGGAATTAGGGCCCTGTTTGCTGCAGAAGGACTGCAAAGCCATCGAGGAGAAGATTCTCCTGAGGGGAGAAATTCCTGGCTGGCCTTGCCAGCTCCATATTGTTCCCCCTGAGCAGCTCTTGGGCGAACAGTGGGTTAGGGACACAGAATCACGAAAAAAAGGAAGGGCCCTTTCGATGTCCCTTAGTCCTTCTCCTGCAGGCTCATGTCTCTAAGCAATCCTTGCCGGGCACTTCTTGAAGGCACTTCAAGCTCCCCAGACACTATTCTTCAACCACCTTCCAAACAGGGATCTGCGTCCTGTCACTTCTCACCCTGCGAATGTGGGGAACACTTTATCCTTCACCTCCCTGCAACATCTCATGTAGCTGAGGCCTGCTATCATGCCTCCCCACCACCCTCTCTCCTCCAGACCATATGAACCTGGCAGGCCTTCCCCAGGGCGTGAGGTCTTCTCCAGACATGTAGGAGACAGAGGTTCTGCAAATCCTCCATGAACTGTGGGCTCACATCGCAGATGAGATCCTCACTGCCCTGCCAAGGCTGCTCTAACTTATACGGTGAGCCAAAGCATGTTGCCAAAATCTCCAGGGGCTGGGAAACAGGGGGTTTGGAGCTGTCATTGCCCTCCTCTGTCTGCTCCAAAGCAGATACTATGCCTTGGCCCAAGTGCCATTGGTGTCAGCAGAGCAGGATCATAAGGTAATTTGGAAAGGACCTTGGGAGATCTCCAGTCCAACCTCCTGCTCCAAGCAGGGTCAGCAATGAGCTCACACCAGGTTGCTCATGGCTTTATGCAGTTGGGTCTTGCAAACCTCCAAGGATGGAGTCAGGTTGCCTTGTTTGCCCACGATTTCCCCCAGCCCTCCCTTGGCTGTCCCCTGAGGTTTGCCCCCAGAAAGCTGACGGTACCTTGCATTTTCTGATTTTCTACTCATGCACTGGTGCAGGAAAAGGTAGTCCTGCGGGGCGCTGGCAGACAGGGTGGTCTGGATGTGGTTGGCCGGAGAGTCGAAGGTGAACAAAGTGGGCTGGCTGGAGTGGGACGGTGCTGAGGACTTGCGATCTCGGAGCAGGTGGTGGTTGGAGCCGCTCAGCTCGGCCGGAGAGGAACGTGGAGCATGGTTCATGGAGACGATGCTCCTCAGCGTATCTGTGTGGGGAAAAACACACTGTCGTTTATGTCTGCTAGGTCACATCCAGCTTAGCAGTTTCAGCCAGGTCTGCAGTGCCTTTATGCTGGTGCTTGGGTGGCTCTAGCCCCCCTGGGGGGGTTAAGGACAGAGCTGGAGTGGCAATTCAAGCTGCTTGACCCCACAGACGGGCTTCTTAGCCACTGGACCAGCCTGCCCTGACAGGCTGGCACAATGCGCTGGCTACTAGCCAAATTCCTCACATTTGCTAGCCCGCGATATTGGCTGCAAATGACCAATAGAACACAGAAACAGTGAAACTGCCCAGGACATCATCGGCCAAGGCTCTCTAGTTTCTTCTCACCTCCAGAACCAGACCAAACCCTACTGGAAGATGGGCAAATTTGTGCTGTCCCCACTTAAATAACTACGAGATTTAAAACCTCAAGGGTGATGTCCTTCCCAAGTTTGAATGATGCACACATCAAGATTGCACGTGTGGCTTTTGTTGTCCCACTGCAGGTGCTTGGTTTGCCACGGGATGCACGCTGCAGCATGATGGAGAATGAAGCAGATGTCCCAGGGACCTTCTCAGTGGGACGTCTAACGGCTTTGACGGTGAGGGACCAGATTCAGTGACCCAGGCAGCTCACATTCCCAGGATTTTCCTTCATTTTCCTCACAAACATTAGATTACATATGTGCTCAGGCATTTATGGAGAGCTGTGGGGTTTGCTTATGGCACTGACCGTTGCAATCAAAGAGAACCAGATGCCCCTGCCTGCAGCAAATGCAAGCACAGGCACCACCTGCAATATTGAATATTATACTGAGGGATTTCATCATATCTAGGTCATCAAGTGACTGTATTAGGTGACTACATCGGCTCCCGCATCATGCTCAGTTTAGCCTCAGCCAGCGTGATTTAAGTCGTCCTCCCCATACCTCTGGCTAAAGTCATTGCTGCAACCTTTTTACAGGAGGGTAAACTGAGGCATGGGGCAGGAATGTGGATGGGCACAATGGGCAGCAGAGACCAAAAAATATTCCCAGGTTCCTCAACTCTCAACCAGTTTGGTGACTTCAAAAGACTTTCTGCTGCTTTCTCCTAGTAAAATGGGAGGCAGGTGCAACGTTTAACTTGCAGTCCCTCTCTCCCCTTGTCCAAGGAGAAATAAATACACTTTAAAATATTAAATTTATTTCTACTTAGAGTAACCCAGAGGTCAGGAACAATCACCGTACTACTCCAGCTCTCTGATAAATGTACTCCAAGAATTTGAACCAGGAATGAATTTTTACCCCATTAAAGATGGGGTAAAACCCATGGATGTAAACCCCATTAAAGAACAAAACAAAACAAAACAAAACACCACCAACAAAAACCCAAACTGCAGAATGTATTGGAAAAGCTGATCCATCTTGGGCTCCAGAAGCTGCAGCGGTCTCTCTGCCATGCATGCACTCTTGGTGTGGAGAAAATACTCGTCATATGGCACTGCACACTGCTTTCTCATAGCTGTGATTTTAACTGATTTGCTGCTGATGGAAAATAAGTTAAAAAAAAAAAAAACTTACAGAAAGGCTTGATCAAAAACAAAGAATTAGATATTTTTCCCAGAGTGATGTGGGGGATCCACAGGCAGTGCCTGCCTCCACCTGGTGCCTTGCTGCATGTTTTTTTTAGGGGGGGGCCTCGCTGCCTGAATTAAGAGTGACCCAACCAGCTGGGAGGATGGTGGAAAGCAAAATAAATACAGCCCAGCTCACAGGAGCATGCTGTGGGATGAGGCTTTCCATTAAGATCAGCCTTGCAGAGGGAGAGCCTGAACTCAATTATGCTGGCAAAGAGCACGGAAACAAGAGCAGAATTTGTCCCAGCTTTCAAATAAGATTTTGATCGCTCTACAACCCATTATCCACCTCCAGGACCGCTGGTAAGTGCCTTCTAAACACAGCATTTGTTTAACCCTTCCTGAGAGATAAGGCCAGTGGGAAGATAAGAATAGCAGCACTTGCTCGAGTCGAAGGTCCTGCAAGCCAGGAGGCCCTCTCCAGCGGTGACAGA